GCTTCCTGGCTCCTGCCTGCCTTCTCCCATCCAGCTCCCTGGCTGAGGGGACAGGCTGCAGACCCAGCCCTGACAGCCGAGCAGTCCTCCAAGCTGGCTGGAGCAGAGTGCCTGTGTTCAAGTGCTGGGTCTGCTGGTGACCAGCTGAAGGACCTGGACCAATCACCTAACCTCTCTGTGCCTCAGTTTCATCATCTGTAAAATGGGGACTCGTCAAATAAGTGTTTGACACCTGGGGATGAGGCATTGCACCAAGCAGACAGAACCCCCATCCTTATATTCATAGGCACCCCATCTGAGTGCTCGGCACAGCACCCGGCTGCACCTATGTTCAAGGGTTGGCTATTAATTAGAATTTGCTCCCCAGCACTAACCCCAAGCATTCCTCCTGGGGCCAAGTCTCCTGCTCTTCTTCACTGAGAAGTCCGGTTCTGTGAGCATCCTTGCCTGCCCTCCCCAGGGGTAGATGGTTGAGGGGCAGAGGGGATTTTCCCCTGGGAAAAATCCAGGTTCCCTTCCACCCGACTGTGTGCTCGGCACCAGGCCAGACACGTCTGTGTGCTCTCCTTCACCTCACATCAGCATTGTCCGAGGGAGGTGCTGAGACTCAGAGAGGGCCAGCAACTCCTCTGAGGACACACAGCAGGTGAGGCATCTGGTTCTGGGCCTTTCTGTCACGCCCGCCCCCACGGTACTCCCTGGTCATGGAGCAGCGACAGTGAGCAAACATCCTGTTGGGTTTTCACCAACACAATGGGAACAAGATGAAAACAGAGCTGGTGAAGGCGGGGCTTGGGCCTTCCGTGTAGGGTGGGAAGAGGCCAGGCCCGAGCTGGGAAGGACAGGAATTAGAGGGGACAGGCCCAGCATTTCCTGTTCCAGCTGGAAGCCACAAGGATTTGAAACTCCGGCCCGACCTGGGACATCCCCTGTCTCCTGAATTCCAATCTGGAGGCCTCCTTGGTATTAAACATGATGCCAAGGAAAGAAGATATTTGGTCTTCTCCCCTTTTTGTCTGGAACGTCTCGCTGTTGGCTGGTGTCCTCCCTGCAGAAACCAGACACTAAGGACTCAGGCCACAAAGGCAAGAAGACAGCGCGGCCTGAGCTTTGTCAGGAAGGAGGTTCTGAGGCCGGGGAGGCACGAACAAGCTCTGTGAGAAGCCGGAGGGTGTTCTTGACAAGGCTGAGAAAGGCCCCGAACGTCAGAGCAGAGGGTATGGTGCTCCCTTAGGGGACATGAAATCCACAAACGTCACATGATTTCAAGGGTCACCGTGGTCTTTTCTCAGGCTCCTGCTTCCTCTGTGAAGACAAAGTGGGGCGTAGGCCAAGACCAGAGCTGAAGAGTTCTAGAGACGGAAGTCGACAGTGAGAGCGAGAGGGGACACTTAGGGACCAGCTGCCATCGGCAGGAGGCTCCTGAAAGGGACAGAGGGAAGAGGAGTCTTTCGGGTCGCCTGCTGAGCACTGAGCTTCCTGGCCTTGCGCACGTGCTGTGGCATTTCCCGACGTGACCATCGGGCTGCGACGTGCTCATGGTGACTGCCTGGCTGCCCAGTGCTGGCTATGACGCCACACGGGAGCCGGGCCATGAGGGGCCAGGAGTCAAGGCAGGTTTTGGTCAGAAGTCCGGCAGCCGGAGGTCAGGCCCAGTGCTGGTGGCAGGACTCTGTGACCTGGGAGGACTGTGAGCGGTCCCCGCTGTGGGGAGAGGCCTGCCGAGCAGGGAGGGCAGAAGGGCGATCAAGCCAGGTCACAGACAGCTGTGAACCAAGTGTCCCCGGGGAGGCCCAGAGGTTCGGCGGAAGGAGGGCCCACATCAGGTTGCAGGAGAAGAGGGCTTAGCCATCTGGGCAGGAAGGAGTAAGGAGGCCGCTCCTGCTGGTGACAAGAGAGCTGAGTGGGGGGTGTTGGGCCAGAGTGGGGGCGTGGGGGTCCCTAGAGGTGAACAAGCAGAGAAGTAGCTGATGGGATCTGCGCTCAAGGGGGACGCACCTTGGCCATGCCGGGGAAGTGATCACCCCTGCTGGAACGTGGGTGTTTGGAGGACCCAGGGTGACGATTTGGAAATGAAGCAGCATAGACTCTAGCTCTTGTTCTGGGAGAAACACTGATTACAGCCCACCCCTGCACCAGCCACACCCCCCGTGACACTTGATGACATGGACGTGACCACACCCGCCACGTGGCAGCAGACCTCCATAAGCCTTGGCTGGGGCACCTCTGTCCAGGACACCTGAGACCCTACCTCCCTACTGGTGGGCAAGGCAAGTCTTACTGAACCTCAGACTTGCTCAGCTCTGCCCTGCCTGCCTCCTTTCTACCTGTGCCACCTCAGGTCGGATCACGTCATTCTGTGGCGTCTTTGTGTGCCCCCTTGTCTGGTGTCCCAGCACCCAGCACAGAGCTAGGGGTGGGGGCTGCTTGGGAAACTTGAGCCAAGCTGAACAATTTAAAGGAAGATGGGCACCCACACCCTGGTGCCCTTTCTGCAGCCTTACACGGGAAGGGTAGGGACGCCTGTGGCACAGAGGACAGGGAGCCCAGAGCAAGCGGCAGGCGCAGGGGTTCAGGAGCTGGACTGCTCGATCTGTCGGTGACTTCGGGAAAGCTACCCCACCTCTCCGCTGGCACCTAGCCCATGGGGTGGTATTGACACAGCAAGTGCTCAATAAGTGTTGCTGGAACCATGGGCGCCCACCAGGAGGTCCAGCGAGGTGCAGGTCTGCTTGCCTCTCCAAGTCCACCCCCTCTCCCCAATGTTGGCAAAACAGAAGTCCAAGCAGGAATTTCCTCACTCAAGGTCACACCTCCATGTCAAGGACAGAATGGGACTTGGAAGGAACTGCGTGAATCCCTTATCCGGCATCACGTCCCTGTAGGTTTCTGACAATCATTTTTGAATGAACACCCATATGATTATGGAAACACCATTCTGAGTCCACATACAAGTCTATGAGAACCAGGAGGGACAGGAAGAGGCTATGAGATCCAAAGTTAAATGTCTCCCCATTCACAGGGCACAGCCCATGACCACAAGCCCAGTCTCTCATCCTATACCACGAACTTGGACATGACACAAACCCAACAGGCTCGGCAAGCTCCTCCCCCTCCACAGCTGGTGTCCTTGAACTCCATCAGGATTGCGCAGCACAGCGCCTGCACACAGCAGGTGCATAATGTGTGCAAGGTGGAAAGGGGAGACTAGGTGACAGGCAGAGGGAACTGACAAGGAGCAGACAGAACCATCCAGCCAGAGACTGTGACTCGGGACGTGGGACACGCCCGCCAGAAGGGGGAGGACACCGTCCTTTAAATGGTAGAGTCTCAGTTTTCAAAAAACTTGGCTGCTGGTAATGTTTTCCAGGGGTTCTGGAACTGCAGTGCCTATAGGCGACACCCTCAGAGGCTCCTGGTCAGTGGGCTCTGGATGAGACTGAGGCAATTATTTTGACAAACACCCCAGTGTGTCTGCTGCAAGAGACCCACATTTCAGGAAACCCCACCATCGGGGCTGGGACAACAGACGTTCCATTGTCTATAGCTTTGGGTGGGCTGTGCCTCTGCTCCCCACTCCTCAAGGGGGAGACCAGCCTCTTCCCCACCCATCACCTCTCCATCCCCAGGCCACCGCCTCCCCGCACCCAGAGGACCTGCTCAGTCGAGATGTGTCAAACTTTGCTGAACAAAGCCTGGGCCCTTGTCTCCTGCATGATAGATGGGGCAATTATTCGATCAATAAGCACAAGCTGATTTAAGTGTACCTTATTAATTATTTAAGCCATTCATTATTGAAGAAGTCACTACCCATTAGCTATTTAAATGATCATTAACTAGCTTGGTTGCATCTCCTGCAAGGACGTAGCAACTGTAAACTCAGCACCTACTATGTGCTGGGTGTTTAATCCTCAAGACAAGCAGGGGTGGGGGGAGGGGGGTATGTCCTTACTCTCCACTCCTTCCCAGGGATTGGAAAGTTGGGAGGGGTGAAGTCGCCCCTGAAATTGCGAGCTGGTAAACAGCAGAGCTGGGCCTTGAACCCAGGTCGGGCTGCCTGCAAAGCTCATGGACTTGGCAGTTTCCACTGGGTTACAGGTTTTTGCATTTCAATCTTGCAGCCCAGGCTCAGTGATGTCCTGGAATGATGCTCCCATGGCTGCAGCTCAGCCCCCACAGAGCGATGGAACCCCTCACCCCACCCCTTGAGAGCACCTGCTCTCAGCCTGGCTCCTGCCAGAGCCTGGCTCCTGCCCTTGGTGCTGGCCGGTGGCACAGTGGGTTCCCGCTCCAAAATGCACCAACTCTCCTCTCACCCTCTGACTCTGCACGGCCCAGGGACCCCCCCAGGTTAAGTCATTCCCCACCTCCCCCAGACTGGGACTGGGCAGACATGACAGTCCCAGCAGAGGAGGCCAGGTTGGAACCGGCCCCCTGGGCAGGGCAGCAAGGCTCTGCTGGAGCAGCCACCCTACAACCCCCTGAGATCCCACCTCCCTTGCTGGCTTCCTTCTCTCCCCTGTCACTGAGCAGCCTGCCTGTGTCGTGTCACCTCAGATGCTCTCTGTTGCTTTGCATATGCTCACGACGGAACCCAGTAATATGCTCATTTTCTAACTTCATTCTGAAAAGAACTTCTCCCCGAGCCCCTGAAAGGCTGTCTTGTTTCCTTGGACCAGACCATGAAAACTTGGAAAGCGATCTAATTTCCCCTTTTGCCGCGGCAGCCAGGAAACTCACAACTCTGTTTAATGCTCAGTGACAATTACTCTGGTACCAGGCTCTAAGTGCAACAAACTCGCAAGCTTTGCTTCCAAGCTCTGTTTCCACCTCTCATTTTGACCTTCCTGTCCAGGCACATGTAACCACTGGCAACTTTAAATCCTTTTTGGCAAATAATCAGGTCATTGACCAGCCAAACACCATTGATCTGCTATCTTCCAAGCTTGTCAAAGACAAGTGACCCAGGGAGGTCTGGGCCCCCGATCGCAGTCACTCACCAGGCAGATGAACTCTGGAAGGTCACCAGCGGTGGGCTGTGGGTTTCTCCCTGCAGTGTGTGCACAGCCTGGGGGGCTTGCGGCAGGGGACCCGGGGGAGGCTGGGGCTGCGGGGTTGGCTGCGCCGGCCGGGAGGCCCGGGCAGGGTTCCCCCACCGCCGGGGGTCCTGTTTCATCCACCGTCCATGGATGCCCCACCGTGCCAGGTAAACCTTGCAAATGTCGTAGTTCATCGCCGAGTAATACAAAAGATCCAGGACCAGCAGTATCAGCACGAAAAAGCCATAGATCCACACGCCCAACAAGGCGGTGTAGTTGCTGCGGAAAAGCAGAGAGAGAGCGCGACTGAGAGGGGAGGACAGCGACCTGCCCCAGGGAGCCGGGCTGGGGAGTCCTGGCTCCGGCTCCTCACCCCCACCCTCCTGTCCCTCTCCCGGCCTGCCCCGCTTGCCTCTTCCCAGACCCCTGGAATCCCCGCCTGAGCGCCCACCCAGAACCCCAAGTCCGCGGACCCCAATCCTGGGGGTCCCCACTGTCAAACCTTTGACCAGACCACGAAAACTTGCAAAGCCATCCAATTTTCCCCTTTGGAAGGAATTCTCAGTTGGGCATTTGGGGCTCCCAGGATGGGGTGGCCCCTACCTTCACCCTCATGCCCTATCCGACATTGGTGCTGCTTCTGGACCGGCCAGCTGTCTCTGGTGGGTGCCCCTGCTTGCCCACCCTCCTGGCCTCGGCTTATGCTGTTCCCACCACTTGGGGTGCCCTTGCTGCCCCCCTACACTGCCAGCTCCTCCCCACCTTACTGGGCCCAGGGCAAATGCAGGAAGTCTGTCATCTTAGGACAAACTGACCCAAGTTCCAGACCATAAACCCCTGCCCCTCTGCATCTGCACGGGGCCACCCCACAGCCCCACGTGCTGCGTGGAACACAGCCGGGGGCCCCCCCAACCTTGGGCCAGCTTCCTTCCATCCTGCTCCGTTTTTCTCTCTCTCTCAGATCCCCAGGAAACAGTGTCAGCTTGGCCGCCCTCCCCACACCCCCCGCAGCAGCCACTGGTCCTGTCTGTCCCACCTGTCAGGCCTTTCAGCCCCTCCCTCCATCCCCTCCCCCACTAGGTCCTCTTCCCCAGGCACCACCAGACTGTGTGCTGATGGGCGTCTCAGGGCCCCTGACATGGTTCTTCTTACTCTTTCACCCAACATTCCCCCACCAATGGCTGCTCCGCCAGCCAGAAGCAGAAAGGATGGAGGGTTTTAAGTGCACATGCTCACAGCCCCTCTGTGAAGCCTGGCTCCCCGGCCAAGCTGTCTCTTCACCCAGCAACGTGCCTCGCTCGCTCCCACACCAGACCTTTGCACAAGCTGTGCCTGCTGCCTGGGCAGCCTGTTCTGTTTCCCCAGTTCCTTCCTCTCCTGCCTGACTCCCACTGGCCCCTCGTGGAGACCACTTCCCCCAGGAAGCCCTCCAGACATGCTGCCCCTCCTACACGGCACAGTCCAGCCCCTCCTTTGGCCCACCCCCCGGGGCCACGCTGGCTGGGTCATGTATATCCTCGTGTCCAGGCCAGGTCGGAGCCTCCCCTTGCACCCTGGGCTTGCCGCTGGAGCTCAGGCTGCTGTGCTCCAAACAGGGCTCACCAGGGACTGTGGTTGTGTGAAGGAACCGATTTATTAATCACTCAGAGGCTGCCTCCATCTGCTCCCTGCTGCGAGCATCTGTTCAGGTGGGTGTGTGCTGGCGGGCGGTGGAGAGAAGCCACGCCACTGAGATGCACGGCCAGCGCCCAGCCTCTCTGCCCACATCCCACAGGGAGAGACCCGACCCAGCTCTCGCCAGATGGGGCCCCTCTCTGCCCTGGGTCCCCGCAGCAGGTCCCTCTAGGCCCTATCTGGCGCTGGGGAGCACGGGCCTGGAGCCAGGAGGCTGGTTCTTCCTTTGCTGTGTGGCCTGGAAGAACCCCTGCATGTCTCTGGGCCTGGAGGAGATGATGTGAAACCCCTCCTGGCCTCAGTTTCCAGGCTCTGGATCTTCCCAGCTCGGTTCACCCCCAGCCCAGCCTTGGCCTCAGCAGTTAGATGGGGGCTGCTCCCCCCATTCCTCCCCCAACCCCCCGACTCCTCCAGCCCCCTTCCAGGGCTGCGCCCAGGCCAGGGATGCTCACTTTCGCTCACCCTCTGCCTGGAATGCCTTCCTCCCCTTCACTGGTGGCCCCTCGAGGGGGAGGCCTGGGCATGTCCCGAGCACTAGCACGGAGCAGGGATAGGCAGGTGCTCGGGGCTTCGTATCTGCTTGAGGAATGCGTGACCTGTATCGTGGCTGCCCTCACTCCTTCCTACAGCCGCACCTCCGGCCACCACCTGCATGAGGGCGGCAGCAGTCTCGGGGGCTTGTTCAGGCTAAGGTGTGAATGACTGACAGCCTTATTTCAAGGGGAAGCTCGATTTGCCTGGAGACATCAGGATGTGGAATTGCTCCCAGGGAGCAGAGGCCAGCGCCCTCTCTGGCCTGCTGAGGCAGGGGTCCTGGGGCGGATGTCCACCAGGACAGAGGAAGCTCCAGCCCCCTGCTTTCCCAGCACCCTCTCTGCAGTCTCCCCTGGGGCCCCCACAGATATGCCGTAAGCATCAGGCTTCTCCTCAGTGGTTGCCATGGCAGCAACCACAGGGGCTAAGGGAAGCACGTGGGAATGGGGGAGCAGGGGCAGCTGTTTGGCTTTGGGCCATTGAAGTAGAGTCCACTACACTCACTGTCCCTTCATGCAGGCCTGCCCACAGGACCTGTCCTGTGCCTCTTCCTGTCCTGCTGGTAACGGGTCTGGCCGTGTGATGTGCTTTGGCCAAGAAAACATGAGCGAAGAGTCATGGGTGCCTCGGAGTGGGGGTCACCCTTTGGTTTCACCACCTCTCTTTTCTGTCTGCTGTGGGGACATCCTACCACAGGTGGGAACTGCTTGATCAGCCTGGGTCACAAAATGCAGCATAAAAACAGCCACAGGTGACCTGAGAGGGACGTGGACTGTGAGCCAAAGCTAAGCCTTGGTGTCTTGAGCCCCAGGGATCTGGGGCTGCTTGTTATGTCAGTATAACTGAGCCTGGGTGACCGATACACCTGCCTCAAACCCAGCTCTGCCACTTGTGTGCTGTGTGACTAATAGGCAAGTTTTCACCCTCTCTGATCCTCAGTCCTGGGTAACGGGGCTAGCAGGACCTTCTTTATAGATAACACCTCCACGTGGATGAAATGCGTTGGTGTGAGGCCCCTCACATTATTACTCTAAGTGCCCATAAATGTTTATTTGTCTCCCATCGCTGGCTTGGGGGAATGTATTCAAATTAGGAAACACCATGGACTGTGTTTCCTCTCAGTCTGTACAAGGCTGCCAGTATTTGTGTCGGTTTTACGTCTGACAGGACTTGATAGGGTTGGGCAACTGACAAGAACATCCGGGACCTTCTGGCCCACTCAAGGGCTGGACTCAGAGCCTGAAACAGGCTGGACGGTGATGTAAGGCTTGCAGGACTGTGCCCATGTAGAGGAAACCCAGGGCGCTGGGTCCTCAGGCCTGGCCGACTGCAACTTGCTGGCCATCGGCGTGGCTGAAACACTTCTGGGCACTGGGAAGGACAGCTTTCAGGGGGGAGAGGGACGAATCATCCACTTCACCCTCAGAGGCCTTTGAGGACTCTTCGTAGTCCTAGAAGCCTCTCCCACACACCCGTCCCCAGAAACCCATCTGTCTAGTGAAGGGAACACCCACGTGTGGCACAAGACTCCACTCCACACCACCTCTGCCAGGGAGACGTTCCCTGTCCCCAGAGAGAGCTGACTGCTGACCCTTCCCCGCACCCGTGCCCAGGGCAGACACTCCCACTGCTTGTGCACGGCTCCGGGTCTGATTGCTGTGGCCGGCTTCCCACCCGGGACTTGGCATGGGAAAGTGTGCAGTACACTTGCCCTGAACACCAAGGGCTCCTCTGCCCGTGTGGCTGGAGGTGGCCCATTGCCATGGTGGTAGGCTTGGCGGGGCTGCACCCCTCATTCTGCCTGCCTTTCCGCCAGGCAGCCAGAGCCAACACGAACCATTCTGCCCTCCAGAAAAACACAAATAAAGAAGTCGTCAGAAGCGCTTTCCTCTTCCCTATCACAAATCCCGCCTCCTGGCTGATTCGCTGGCGGGGAGGGCGAGGTGGGTGGCCCCAGAAGGTCTTTGCTATTTAATGGACTCTGTGCATCTTCGTAAGGCCCTGGCCAGGGTCATGGCTGCCTTGTTTCACACAGACAGGCTGCCGGCAGGTGCTAACGGGTCTGGGGTGTTGGAACATGTGGCCTGTTGGCTGAGATCTCCAGCATCAGACAAGTCCTGGCTTTCTAGGTGCACTGGGGTGGGGATGGGGGGCAGGGGTGGCAGAGCCCAGTGGCCGGAACAAGGGCCCCGGCGACCCTCAGGTCTTGACTGCAGCTGGAACAGGTGACAGCGCCAGCCTGGGCCCAGGCCCTTCTTTCTTCCTCTCAGAGTAGCTGTGAGGATTTATGACACAATACAGGTGTCTCACCAGGAGAAGACCAATCCGGAAGCCCAAAGCGAAGGACAGTCCCAGAGGTAGATTCTACCTGGTCCCCTCGCACACCCAGGGCCACATAGGACCTCCCAGCCTCATGGGCCTGTCTGACCCGGTTCACTGACCCATCCTGTGCAGGCTCCGGGACATCAGCCTGTCTCCCACTCCCCCAGCTCGTCGTCCAGTCTCCCCCTCTGCCACAGGCCCCCCTGGGTGCAAGGCCCTGGTCCAGCTCTGGGCTTAGGCCTTCTCCTCAGGGTCCCTGAGCTCAGGTAGCTGGGTGGGGGCGTCCAGGGCCTGATCTGAGCTCTGGATTGGTTGTCTCCTAGGTGACACTGCCCCTCCCCCCCATTCAGCAGGGCCCCAGTCTTGCCCAGTCACCATCGTGGCTTCTGCAGTGTCCTAGGTCCTTGTGCTGTGCACCATCCATGAGCACAAACCCAGCCTAAAGCCCTCACGGCCAGCCCCTCGCCGCCCCTAGAAACAAGTCCAAGCGCCCCCCACCCCCGCCCCATTCAGCCCCGGCTGCCTTTCCCCATGGTTCCCCTCACACTCCACACTCCAGCTGTCAGGGGCCCTGCCTGGAAATGCCCATTCCTCTGGGTCATGTGGCTCCCACCTTCTTAAAAACTTTCGGGTGCACGGGGTCAAGCGCACGCTTCCCTCCTGGGGCACAAGGAGCACTGTGACAGGACGGCCTGGGTGACAAGCAGCGCTCACTGCACAGCTGGGCAGGCACTACTCCGCCCTGGGCCTCCATCCATGTCTGTGGGAAGGGAGGTGGAGGTGGGGGGGGCACTCGGTGGGGAACAAGGGAGGAGTTCTCCCTCCAGAGCGGGGCAATCCTGCACCCACATTTGGCAGCATCGGGAGATGGCTGGTTGTCACAGCCGGGGTGCTGGGGACAAGGTGCTACCAGAGCCTAGTGGGTGGGGCCAGGGGTGCTCAGGCAGCCTCCACAGAGGAGGATCCCCGCTTTCAGCCTCTCCCACTCAGACCTGCCTCCTCCAGACCTGGGCTGGCTCTCGGCTCCACCACCGGCCAGCTGCCTCGATCAGGTAAGTTACTCAATCTCTCCAAGCCTCACTTCCTCAGGTGTCAGGTGGGCTAAGGATGGGCTGCCAGGTGACTTCGGAGGAAGAGAGTTGAGTCCAGAGCTCTGTCATGCTGTCTGAACTTCAAGAATAAGAACTGAGCTAAACCTCTGATCTTCAGTATTCCTGTTACTCCCCGAGGAACGGCCTTTATTTTGTGGTCTAGCAGCAGCCAGGACCCACTGCGCTGAAAGGATGGAGTGCTCCATGTGAAATCCTGTGCAAATGTGCAGATTATAGAAATCTGGGGGCTTCGAAACGAGGATCCCAGACACCAGTTGCCAGAGCCTTGGAGCGTCTGGCTGTCTGGCCAAGCCTCTGTCTTCCATCTGGCTTGCCGCCGGCAACTACACTTGGGGTCCTGACCCCAGTCCTGGCACCACCCTCCACCCTCAGGGAATCAGCCTTTGGTCTTATAAAAGACTTGGGTCAGATTCAGCCTCATTCCAGCCATTGTGACAGACAGGCCTTGTTTGCTAAACGACTTCACATACAGAATTATTCTAAGGCCTTAGCAGATGGGAAGATAGTCACCAGTGCATTTGAGAAAGGAAGGCTGGGGCGCTGGCCTGACCAAAGGAAAGAGGCAGCCTCCCCCAAGTTGGCACGGCATGGTGGCAAAGCATTCAAGCCCCAACAGCAGGCGGAGAGACTGGGGCTGAGACCTTCACCTCACCACCTCCCAGGGGTGCCACTCGTCCCTTCAACAGTCACTCAACAAACACGCCTTCCAAGTGCATATTTCCTTATCATGAAAAAAATATATTCACCCCAAAAATCAACCTGAGGCTTATTGGGGAAATATACGAAGCATCCCTAATAAAGTTAGGAAGACGATAAGAATACCTGACCATTTTAAAGGCTGTTTTAGAGGTACTCGACAACACGATTGGACAAGAAAAAGAAGTAAAGCACAAAAACTAGAAGGCGGGAGAAAGAGGTAGTGTTTGCAAGGTGTAATTAAAATGACAAATTAAAAGGTGTAATTAAATCTAAGAGAATCAACTGAAAAAGCATTACAAAGATAAGAAGTTTCAGTAAGGTAGCTACAGACCTTCCAATAGCAACATAAAAAGAAATAAGTAGGGATAAATGCAAAAGATATATAATATGTATAGAAAGAAAACTCCAGAATACTATGAGAGAAAATTTGAACAAATGGAAAGACATACTGTGTTCTTGGATAAATTAATTCTCCTCGAATTAATTTATGAAATGAACACAATCTCAGTAAAAAATACTAACTGAATTTTTTTTTTTTTTTGGGGCAGAGGCACTACACAAGCTAATTCTAGAGTTCCTATGACAAAAGAACCAGGGGGAATAGACCAAGAAGACTTTAAAACATATTAAAAGCCACAGCTGTAGTAGTGAGATGCTAACATATGGATAGGCAGACCAATGAATCCATTTAATACTTAATACTCAGTATTTAGTACTTTAATAGTTAAATTTAGTGTATTATGGGACATAATAAGTTTGCATTTCATATCAGGGAAAAGATGGACAATTCAGTGGATAGTGTTGGGACAGATGGCTATCCATGTGGAAAAAAATTTTGTTTTTAATTCTTACCTCAAAATTTACATCCAAATAAATTTCTGACAGATCAAAGATTTGAAGACAAAAAATTAAAACATAAAAGAAGTAAAAAAAAAAAAGAGGGAATTTTAATGATCTCAGAGTAGGGAAAGCCTTTCTTCAGTATGCTACAAACCCCAGAAGACATAAAAGAAAAACAAAATTCGATGCGATTTGATTATATATCAATTGAAAATTAAGCATGAGAAAAATGCGTCACAAATTCAAAGACACACTGGGAAAATATTTGTAACGCATCATGTTTCCTTCATATGTAAAGAGTTCATGTAAATAAATAATAAAATGGCCAAAAAATTCAACAGGAAAATGGCGAAGGACATAAACAGTTAGCTTACAGAAGAAAAAAAAATACAAATAGCTCTCAAATATGTGAAAAGATGTTCAGTTTCACTCAAAATAAGAGAAATTCGTGCTGTTTGACCTTAGCATATTCCCACTGCTTTTCGGCTGGGAAACGCCTCTTTTGTTACACTCATGGGCCCCTCACCTCAGGGCCCTGGTCTCATGTGTTTTAATCACCCGAAGGAAAGTGCTATCTAGGATGAATCTCTTGGCCGAGAGTGTCAATCAATATTTGTTGAACAAATAATGAAGGAAGGAACGTGGGTCCCACAGGTTCCAGGCCCAAGCCCTTTTTGCCTGCAAAGTTCCGCATACTTGACCTTGTTTAACGTTTGCAGCAGCCCTGAGAGGTAGGCATCCTGTGCCCATTTCTCAGACGAGAAGGCTAAAGCTCAGAGGGCAGAACAGGCCAGAAAATCTGGTGGCCTGAAGACTCTCCCAGGCTCCAGGGCCCACCCATCCTTGCAGTGGTTGCCCAGCAGCTGCCCAGGGGGCTGGGGTGTCTGGCCAGCACCCCGCCTTGGCAGCGGGGCTGTGGCCCCAGGGTGACACTTACTTGTGCATGTAGCCCTCGGAGCCGGCCGTGAGGTTCGCCTGCATCACCGCCTGGAACTCGGTCTCGTTGCAGCAGTATTTGAAAACTGTGTTGTTATGGTGACAGCAGAGGATGAAGGTTTTGTTGTCAGAGAGCCGGGGGCAGTGGAAGCCAAAGTGGTAGCGGCCTTTGTGGTCCGTGTACGGCTCACAGACCCGGAAGTGCGCGGACAAGACTGGAAAACAGAGTCACCTGGCTCGGCAGAGCCCCTCACCGAGCCCAGGTGCCCAACACCCTCACCAGTCCACAAGCGCCAGAGACGGGGTCTGGTGGGTGTGTTGTAAGGTCCCGCTTGCCTCTTCTCTCCCTGGGGAGGGGGGCTTGGGGGGGGGTCCAGTGCAAGCCTCACCTCTGCCAGGAAGCCCTCTCTGGTCTCCCATCACCTTCCGGGCCTCCCTTGATCACAGCCTTGCTTATACTGTGTCCCCCCCAGACTGGGGGCTCCTTAGGGTCAAGGTGTGTCTGAAGCCTCCTGGAGCTCTGCACACAGCAGGCACTCAACTAGGAAACATTACGTAACTGTGCACCTACTATGTATCTCACAGGCTCTGTCTGTCTCATTTGATTCACTTGGCTACACTAGCAGGCATGTCTGCAATCCCACTTTACAGATGGAGAAATTGAGGCTCAGAGATCTAAGTGGTGGTGGAGTGGGACTCCCTCCCAGGCCTGCCCGGATGTGGAGCCCTCTCCACGTCTCCATCACTGGCTTTAATAACCTCTGTTGCTGTGTGGACTGGGGGGAAGGGGCTGTGAACAGCACAGGCTGACCTGGGTGGTGAGCAGCATGGGTGCAAGAACCAGGTGCCCTTTGTGGAGAAAAGGCATCCCCTTTGTACCTTGGTTTCTCCTAAAGCAGTGCCCTAGACCCAGCGGTCCCCAAGGGCCTGTCCCGGTCACCCCCACCTCCTAGTGACAACTGCCCTGGCCTTGGGGGAGACCCCTGTTCAGCCATCAATGCTGATGCCAGCCCAGGACGGTCTTTACCAGCCCCACCGATGGTGATAAACAGGAGAGAAAGCCTGAACAAATAACAATGGAAAAAAACCTGGAGGCGCTGTCTCGGGCTTAATTAGTATCTTCATAAAAGGGATCGCTGTATCTAATTTGTATCGCTGAAAAGGGGCCTCTTGGCTGAATACATTTCTCCAACCACAAAGGCACTGGTTTTGCACAAGCTCCTCCAGTGAGTTGAAAGCTGTCTCGGTGAGAGGTGATTAGAATGCAGCCCACACAGCTACCGTGCCGCCCGAACTGCCCGAGGGGAGTCCCAGCGGGGCCACGCTGGCTGGTGGGTGGCCTGGGTGGCCTCATGAAACCCTGTGCCGCTGCCCCAAAGCCCAGCACCCTCCCCTGCAGGGATGGCGGGATGGGTATGACCTCTCCAGGAGAAGGGTCCCAGCATTTCAGGAGTCAGGGAAGTTCCAGGTCCCCTTCTCAGCCTTGACCGTGGGAAACAGGACCCTTTTATGGGATGCAGAGGTCCCTGAGTATGCCCCCGGGGGAGGCACCATCTCAGTCAGCCTCATGTACTCCCATCATACAGAGGAGAAAACTGAGGCTCAGAGCAGCGGTTTCAAAGTGAGGTCCCTGACCTGCCAGGTCCGCATCCTCTGGGCACTGTTCAGAAACGCTGGTTCTCGGGCCCCTCGGCAGACCTGAATCAGAAGCGCTGAACACGGTGTGGGGGCAGCGCGGCAGGGGAAGCCCATGGGCGTGGGTCTGCACCCAACCCACTGGCCTAGGGGAATGACATGCTGGAGGCGAGAAATGAGCAAGGGCCTGAGGGGGCACCAAGAGAAACAGGGATTGAGAGACAGAGACAGAGAGAGGGAGAGACAGACAGACAGAGGAGAGACAGGGAGAGAGAGCGGTAGAGAGAGAGTGACAGACAGAGAGCAGGTGCATTGCTGGGACCAGGGCTGAGCCGTCGGGTTGCTCGGGGCCACCCTTGCTGTGGGGATTCGGGTGGACTTCTTGGTTGCCAGGTCTAGTTTGGAGCGGTTGGAGGACTTGGTTTCTGCCCATCTTCATAAACAGGAGAGAAAGAGCCCATCTGCAGCCCCAGCTGGGGTCATGGGGATGGCCCTGGAGGCTGGTGGGTGTTGGGAGGTGAGGCCCCCGTGGTACGCTGCTGGGGTTAACATCCCAGCCCCTCACTAGCTGTGTTGTCTCAGGCTAGTCAGCTCCCTCTCCAAGCTGCAGTCTCCTCATCAATACAACGGGTTGCCTAGGACATCGCCTGACTTTGACTTTGGCAGGGGTAGCGGAGGGAACTCGGTAAGGTCCTTTCCCAGGGCTGGCTGGCAGCCACCGTTAACCCCACCATGTCCGAATCTCTCAGCTGAGCTCTGGGGGCAGGTGCGTAGGGTACAGCACACAGTAGGTCTCACTGCACAGCACCGAACCATAGCTCCTCACGAGGGGGCAGGGAACCAGGGGAACCCCTGTGAACACCCAAAACCCTGGCTGGGCTGGCACTGACCCGGGGAAGGGCTACCTGCCCCCCACACCTCCCCTTCCCACTCAGCACCCATGGAGGTTCTACCTGCGGAAATCAGCAGCGAGAGGAGGGTGAGCACGTTCAAGGACTGCTGGCCACAACTGGTCATCGTTTGGCTTGCATCGATCCGTCGAGAGCCGCCTGTTTAACGAGATCCGGGAAAGGCCGGGTGTGGGCTGCCTGGCGGCGGGGACAGTCACTGGCTGTGCTGCCCACAGCAGGGGATGCGGTGTGGGCAGGGAAGCGAGTTTGCTGGGAGCAGGGGCCGGGCTGTGGAGGATGGAAACGCACCATCCAATTTCCTTTTTGGAATGAATGACCTTCCCCCACCAGTCAACTGTCACCTCCTTTTCTTTTCACAGCAAAAACGAGACTTAATCAAAAGAGGGCGGGCGGCTCAGGTGGTAGAAATAACCATGGGGCGGGTAAGGCCGTGGGGCGGGTGAGGCCGGTGGGCAGGGCGAGCACACGGGGATGAGAAGGGCTGGCTGGCCAGGGAGCGGGGATCTGAGGAGACCTCCGGCACCGCCAGGGGCTTGCAGGACCCACGTCTCCCTGCTGTGTCACTAACAGTGACTTCCATGAACTCCTCCACAAGTGTGCATCGCCCAGGCGCCTTCCAGGCATTCGGGAAACAGCAGTGAACTAACTGCCCCTGCCCCAGGGGCACTCTAGCGAGGAAGGCAGACAGCACACAGACAAACAGACGAATATTTAAAACGCTCTGAGACTCCTAGGGATACACCCAGAAGAATGGAAAGCAGGAACTCAGATACTTGTCAACCCATGTTCACAGCAGCACCGTTCACCAGAGCCAAGAGGTGGAAGTCACCCGGATGCCCATCCACAGATGAACGGGCGAACCAAAGTATGGTCCAGACACACCACGGAATATGATTCAGCCTTAAAAAGGAAGGAAATCCTGTCACTTGCGACGATATAGGTGAACCTTGAGAACGTTATGCTGAGTGAAATAAACCAGTCACAAAAGGACAAATGCTGCGTGATTCCACTGATCTGAGGTCCCTAGAACAAATTCATCAGGACAGAAAGTAGAATGTGGTCAGCAGGGGCTGGGGGGGACGGGAAATGGGGGGGGGTCAGTGTTTCATGGGGACGGTTTCTGTTTGGGAAAATGGAAAGAATTCTGGAGATAGATGGTGGTGATGGTTGCACAGTGTGAATGTACTTAATGTCACTGAACTGTGACTTAAAAATAGTTAAAATGGTAAGTTTTATATAATGTGTATTTTACCATAAGGAAAAAGAACTATGAGGGAAATAAAGCAAAGCATATGGGGGGGGGGCACGGAGGGTCACGTGGGAGCTGCTTTAGGCAGGGTGGTCGGGGGCGGCCTCCCTGTGTAGGTGACGGCTGGGCAGATTTGGGTGAGGCAGGAGCCAGTGGTGTGGCTTTTCGGAGGAGGAGGAGTGCCATAGCTCAGGAGAAGCCAGTGCAAAGGCCCTGAGGCAGGAGTGCAGGGAGGCCAGTGGGGGAGGGGCAGAGATGCACGATGGGATGAATTTGCTGAGCACCTACTCTGTGCCAGGCTCTGGGACAAATGAGGTTCTGCACACCACCCTCTTCCCTCATGGCACCCTGTTATGTGTGCGAATTATTCCCCCCAAATTCATTTGCTGAAGACCTAACCCCCAGGAACACAGGTTCTAAATAAGTAACCTTATTTAGAATTAGGGTTGCTGAACATGTAATTAGTTAAGGAGGAGCCAGCCCTGCAGACACCTTGATCTCGGATTCTGATCTCCAGGCTGTGAGAGCACAGATTTCTGTTGTGTAAGCGCCCCGTCTGTGGTTCTCTGCTCCGGCAGCCCCAGGACGCTACCACATACCCTTACAGGGGGCTGCTGGGATCTACACTGAGGGGTGGGGGATGCCCAGCTCACCTGGGAGCAGGGTCTGATGTGAGGGTGGGGGGTACCTGGAGAGCCAGCACCTGCCTGGGTGGAGACTCTGGTGGGCCCTCCTGGCTGGGCTGCCCCCCATCTGCAGAGCAGGTTTCTGTGGTTCCCCTGTCCCCTCCATCCTGGTTCTGGTATCAGGGCCACCCTGCCCTGTCCCCCACGTGGTGAGGCTCTTCCCTGCCTCAACCCCTCCCACACACACACACTCCAGGGGATGGCCCGAGAGGCGCACACACAGCAGAGCTTTGCTGCCAGAGAGCACGGTTCTGAAAGAGGAGCGGGCCGGGCCATGCGCAGCCCACAGCAGGGGGTCCCTAAGGACAGCCCAGACTGTCCTGGGGTAGCCGCTCCGGCCTGGCCAACATGCTGACCTGGCCCTCAAGACTTCTCAGCCTGGCCGAGGAGAGCACAGGAACAACAGCCAGGCAGCTCTGAATTCTGCTTATTGGCAGGCAGCAGGAAGCCACCAGACGCTGGTGGCTTCAGAGCGAAGAGACAGGGCCACACTCAAGGCCAAGCTCAGGATTCGACCCTGGCCCTGCTCTCAGGAACTCCGTCTTATCACCCGCAGGACGGGCAGCGTGGCGGCACCAAGGGTATCAGGGGCTGTTCTTCTGAAGTTTGAGCCAAAACAAGAAAAGGGGGTGGCATGACCCAAGGATAACGCCAAAATGCCCCACTCCACGATTACTCATGGTGACGGCGTCAGCCCCTGGGGAAGGGGCCCCTCCTACCTCTCCAGCAGGCCGCTCTGCTCCCACCCAGGAGCCAGCTCTGCCCCACGGGCTGTCAGCTGCTTAATTGCTCTGAGCCTGGGTATCCTCCCGGCCTCCCTCAGGGCCCTCCAGGGAGGACGAAGGAGATTAAAGCATTTGAAAGTGCTTAGGAAAGGATTTCTGCTGGGGAACCTAGGGATCAGCCCTGGAAAATGCACTGTGGGGTGGTGGGGCGTGATAGGTCCTCTGAGATGACTCCCTTGCCCCTGTGGCCCCATTCTATAGATGGGGGAGCAGAGGCCCACTGAGGGCAGAGATGGGCCTCCAGACTCCAGGCCCTTTTGGCCTCTGTAGGGTGGGGCTGCCCCACTTTTGGAACTGAGGCTCAAGTCTGAGAGGTGGCGGGTTTGTTGAACGAATGCTGGGGAGAAAGACGTCAACCAGGGAAGAGCCCAGCCTTCCCTGCTGCTGCTCCCACTCTGTATGTTGGGGGCCAGGGGGGAAAGGGCTGTCACTCATGCCTGGGATGCCCTTCCGTCACTCCTGAGTCTAAATCCTGCATCCCTTTAGAAGCTGCTCCAATGCCAGCTCCTCCAGGAAGCCGGCCTTGATTCCATCAACTGGAAGAACTGAGGCCTATCATATTCCATCTCTTCCTTCATAAATGTGTTAATTCATTGATGCATTCATCGATTCTCTCAGCATGCACTCACGGACCCTCCCTGTTGAACAGGACCTGGGCTGGATCCTAGGGACACAGAGGAAGGGAGCCCCTGCCCTCAGGTGTGCTGGGCAAGGTTGCCCACCAGCGTTACCTTGTGTGATTGGCCCCCACGCCCTCCTCTCCTGGGCCAGGGCCTGGTCAGCTGGGACGATGGCCGCAAAGCTTGGGCTCCTGAGTCCCACAGACTGGGTGAGAATCCCAGCCAGCTGACACCAGCCCTGGGCCCTTAGGCCAATCTCGGGGGACTGAAGCCAGAGAAGCCTCAGGGCCTGCTGTGAGGGTTACCCTCACTTGTGGGTGTTCATTTTGGGTCCCGCAGGCGTACCCTGCCACGACTCACTGTGGCTGCCTCTGTCCCCTGTCCAGCAGTGCACTCCTTGTGGTCTGCTCAGTCTCCTTGGCAACTACCCCTTGGGCTGCTGATCCAAAGTTGGGGTGGGGAGTCTCTGGGTTGGGGAGTGCTGTCCTATCCCCCTCTCCCAGCCCCCAGGGAAGCTCTGGTGCCAGATCTTAAGGCTGACAACATGGTGGAAGGGAAACCCACCACAGGTCCCCTGAAAGTTACATAAAATTCCATTTCTAACGTAAAGGCAGCAAAGCTTTGAAGCCAGCGCCCCATCCCCGCTGGGCTGGAAACCCCATGGACTCGGGGGCCTGGGGCCGTGATCTGTTAGGTTTCCACAACAGGGCTGGCCTTGGGAATCACACGATCAATAGCACTGACACTCGCAAAGCCGAAGCCATCACCTCAGCCCCTCCGTAGGGTCCTGGGATCAGGGACTATGCGATCAGGTGAGGAGAACATGTCACGCTGTCAGGTACAGCCACCTGGGAGCCCCACGGGTGACATCTGAGGGAAGCTGTTCCAGCAGCTTCGGGCGTAGGGTCAGCACCGCCCCCCCCCAGCCCCACCCCACCTGGCCTTGCTCGTGGGTGCTGTAGCCTCGGTCTGCTGTAGCCTCGGTCTGCTGCCCTGGCTCTGGCTTTCGCCTATCACATGTACTGGAGCTTTTCTCCATGTTATTTCAGGTCATTTCCCATCAGCCTGGCAAGGTAGACCATCTTGTAAAGGAGAAAACTGAGGCTCAGAGAGGTCAAGTGATTTGCCCAATGTCACACAGCCACTTAGCGGCTCAGATAGGAGGCCAACCCGGCCTCCAAACTCACTCTCCCTCCTGGCACAGTAGGAGTTTCCAGGGCCCCCCGAGACCCCCCAGAAAGCCACAGACAGCTTAGATTTATCATCCAGGTTCTATTTCTTGGAAAATTGGTAAAGTGCCCACAATGGTAGCTCATAGCCAACAATAAAATTCAAAGAACTGTAAGAACATTCTGGATGAGTGGGACTCTCCTGAGCTCTGACCGTGTCCACAGTCACGAGTCAGGCACGAATCTCTGCGGTCCACCCCCCGGGTCAGCTGGGGACTGCTGTTCCCAGATTTGAGGATTATTTTTAAACACCGAATTTGGCGAGGCTGGAGAGGAAAGGAAGGAGGGCATGTGAAGAGGAGCAGAGCTGGGGAAGACGAATGAAACCTCAGCAGGAAAAACAACAGACCTGGTTTTGGTCAGCGGGGCTGGGCAGGGGAGGGCAGGGCTGGGCGAGGGCAGGATGAGGTGCAGGGTCTCGGTGCTGTGCAGGAGAGGGGTGCCATGGACACCGCAGGCCTGGTGACCCCTGGCCCAATGAATGTCTGAAGATTCCACGTCCTCTCTCTCTCTCTCTCTCTCTCTCTCTCTCTCTCTCTCTCCATCTGCCCCGCCCCTTCTCAACCCAGCACGCCCCGCCCTGGCGATGGGCGTGGCCAAGTGCATCCCCTTCGCCCGGACCACGTCAAGGGCGCCACAGCCTGGAAGTTGGTCCCTGGGTTTGGGCCACACTGTGTGGGGCCAAGTCTTGGCTCGACCTTTTGTAACCACACCCCCTGTGACCTAGGACAAGTCTCCTTAATGTCCTTCGTTCCAGAAGAAGGATAAAAGTAGTATCTACTTCACAGGATCCTGGGACAATTGCATGAAGTGATGCATCAAAGCATTTGGAATAGGACTGGTGCTCACTGGGTGCTCAAAAGTGCCAATGGTGAGTGCTCCTCGCTGCTAGCTGTCTCTGCCCCGGCCTCGCCCACCAGTCCAGGTCCTAGGTGGCCCCAGGGCCAGCTTTCTGAAGTGTCCACCTGACCACCCGTCTACCTCCTCAGGAGTCTTGGCAGCTCCAGGTTCCAGTCCATACTCACTCCTGAGGCTCCGTGTGGTCCTGGCCTTTGCTGCCGCCTCTTACCCTCTCTCTGCTCCTCCAGTGGGGCCCCCTAGGATCCTTCTCTCCTCTGGGCCTTTGCACATGCTGTTCCCCATGCTTGAGACACCCTTCCCTCTCCTGCTTGGGCATTCTTCTTATTATCATTAGTACTAGTGTGTGAGTACTACGAATCAGTAATTAAATAAGGGCAGGGTCCTTTGGGGCCTCACCTGTGGGCGGCGGGTGCCCAGTAGATGGGTCCTGGGGACACAGCGGCTC